AATATCTCTTTCTCAGTTGGAGTATAGCATGGCACGTGATCAAAAGCACCAGCTTTTTAATTGCTGTCTAGCAAAGAACTTGCCAAGGAATTGTGTTCAGACACTAAGTGTGTCCCCAGTGTCATGGGCAAACTTGTGCAGCATGTACTAAAGCCTGTTCTGTTGGGCTACGCTACTGAATGAAATCTAGTGTGACTAGATGGTAGAGTAACACTTCTCTGTTGAAGTAAAGACAGCCTTTAATGCTCTCATATAACTGTCAAAATATTAAGAAAATATAAATAATTACATAAAAATAGACTCTATTTTCCTTTATTGGCAGTAATAAATATGTTGTTACAGATGGGTTTAATTTTGCCCTGCTCTTACCTGTTCAAAGTATTCTGCATAGACCTTTTCCACACCCCATTTTCCTTTGACCGTGTTATTCTTCTCCCTGCTTCCATCCCTTCTTTTCATAGTAGTCAGCTTCTATCTATGATCCAGCTCAGAATGCCAGTTTTTGCTGACTACTAGTTAAATTTTCAGGCAGGTACTTTTCTAGAGATTTTTCTTTGCTACTTGAAGGCAGCCCCATAAATCTTTGATAAGCGAAGGTTTTCCTTTAGGAATAACACTATGATGCCAGTGCAGTAGGTGTCTGCTCAGTTTTTCCCTTTCAAATGTTCCCTCTTGTCAGCATTCCTCTGCTGCTTCATATATTTAGAGTAAGGGGTTTTTTATGGCAGATTTGTTTGATTTGGGTTTAATTTTGAACATTGAAGGTTGCTAACAAGTTTTGGGTGGCACCATGAAGGTAGAACTCTACAAATAATAGTTAAAAACAATCTGGATGTCTTAAATGTGTGCATATATTTATATCTTTTATACCATTACCATATCCAGGAATTTTGTGTTGCCTATTAAAAATTGAAATTCTCATTCTCTCTCTCCCCCCCACCTTCTCTCTTCCCATACCCCTCCCCTATTGTCCCCTGGCAATTTAACAGGAGGCTGAATTTCAGTCGTTAAGAGAAGCCCTCTCCTTTGTATCATTAATTGATGGATATTACAGATTAACTGCGGATGCCCACCATTATCTCTGTAAAGAAGTAGCACCACCATCAGTCCTTGAAAATATCCAAAGCAACTGCCACGGACCAATTTTGTAAGCAATTTTTTAGCAATATAACAAGGTGATATTATTTTTGAAAGATGAATTTTAGTTGACTGTGAACCATGAGGGACATCTTGAAATGTGAATTTATTACACTTATGTAACATAAAATGCTTTATATTTTTCCTATTATTTTTCATTTTGCAAAATACAATGCTTTAAAACAATGCAATATTATAAAAAATAAATTGAAAGATTCTGGTTTTAATTTTCTTCCCTTAGAATTCTTTTTTCTTCAAGTGAGACAGGCAGCGAAGTTGTGATGCTGATTTTACAGAATTATAGTTACTACCATACAGTGTCATAGACAGAGGATCTCATGTTTTCCCTGCAGCATCTAGCAGTTATATTATCTGAATGTCAAAGGGCAAAAGGCAAATTCAGATAACATACTCTTCAGTATTTGAGTAAGGATTGCAGTAAACTGCTAGCCATATAAATTGGAGGTTTTGTTTGGTTTTAAGGAATGTTGTCTCCTTGTTTGCTTTCTTTGTTTTTGTTTTGGGGTTTTTTTTTTTGAGGAAGAAATAATTTAGTACCTTCGTTTTTTTTTTTTTTTAAACTTTTTTTTAATAGTTCATATAGTATTGCTTATTGTTGGCAGAAGCACACATGAGAGCTTAGAAATGTTTTGTTAGGCGGAATAAAATGGGTATTTGCTTTAGCTACAGAAAGCTTGAAAGCTGATACATGCAAGGTATGTTCAATGAAACTAGCACTGTTTACTCATCTAATACAGAATAGTTCTGTAAATTTCCCAATGACAGAAAGAGGATAGGTGCTATAACCTGCAGAAGAGATGAAGGAGGAGAAGGATGGAGACCTATGCAGTTCTGATCACTTTCTTGCACTAATGACTAATGCTGTATATTGATATTTATTTAGGGCTGTTTAGAAGGATGTGCAATGTGTCTAGACCTTTCTAAGCCATTCTATTCCTCATTCCCTGAAATGGATAGAAATAGTCAGTTAGCAAGCCTTGTTTAAGGGGAAATTGGTTCTTGTAGTAACAAATGATGTTTTATTTCAACTCCTCTTTCTTGTTAGCCCTTTCCCAAGTTAAACGCACCTTTTTCACCCATGCAAATGTTTTGCTAATTTTAGCTTATTTATTAGGCAGTTTTATTACTATAAAACATCATATGAACATCAAATCATAAGCCTAGGGGAATATACTTTTTTAGGCTGTAAGATTTCTCATCAAATAAATAATTGTGGTGTTTCCAGTATTAAGAATTTTTAATATACTGCTCTCTACATAAGTAGCCACCCTGAATATTGGAAAATAAAGAGACAAAAAGATTAACTTAAAGGAAGCTGTAAAAAATTAAGAGTTTGAATTGTCCTTGTATTAGATATCTGGTAATAGTGCTCATTGGCCAATCTCTGATGTTCCTGGATTTTGAAATTATGCAATATTAAACATTTTCTTTTTACTATAGCATGGACTTTGCTATCAGTAAACTGAAGAAAGCAGGTAATCAGACTGGTTTCTACGTTCTTCGTTGCAGTCCTAAAGATTTTAAAAAATACTTCCTCACCTTTGCTATAGAGGTTTGTATTCTGCCTTAGATAGTACCTGTATAATCTTTATTGCGTTATAATAATGAGCCTGGAATGTTCAGTAAATGATTCTGGATTTTCTCTTCAGAATGTTTGTCTGATGTGTATATTTTATAGCTATTTCTGTCAGATTGGCCAACTTTCAGTGTCTTGTGAGAAAAATACTTTTATGGTAAAGAATCACTAACGACACATACCATATGCCTAGGAGAACAATACAGGTGGAGGGAAGAGGGCTTGGGAGTTCTAGGGATGGTGACATGGCCCTTGGGACTTCAATAAATGTTTGGGTGGTAGAACGGTTTGGTTTGTTTTTTTTTTTTCTTTTTTTAAGTTGGATTCTTTCCTGGGGTTTTGCTCCACCACTCTGAATAGGGCTTAGTTAGACTGGGTATACAGCCCTCAGTGATCTGAGTCTCTCTCCTTCACAGGTTCTTCTGGGTTTGGGTCCTATCCCCATCCCCAGTGCTGGGCCAGCCAGATTATTTGGCAGCTATTACGTCAACACAGATCGCTTGCTGGAATCTGGTGTTAGCTAGAGTGGGAGCCACCCTTGAAATGCTTGCAATTCTCATGCAGCTAAAGAACCAGATGTACCTCTCCTCTGTGAGATTGTAGTTAGTGATAATACAGTACTTTAATTTTGCTGTTACATAATTGCATGATCTTGTTCCAAGGATAGGCTTCTCTTTAATTAATTAACAGAGCTATGTTTGGGTTTTTAGTTAGGGAAGGTAATACATGGGTTTTCCTGCTGGTTTACAGCAAGCTAGCAAGTTCGCTAAATACTGACAGAGATATGTACATCTCTGAAAATGACAAAATAGTGTTGATGTGTGGATGGAGAAGTAAACAGCCATTTTAAGATCAGTTGCACAAAAATTCACAAAATGTCCAGTCAGTTAAGTGTGTTTGATAGGGAATTTTTTAAACTAAGGTATCAGGCCCTGAGCAAGCTTAGAGAGTCAAAGTCTGAGAATTAAGCTTGTGAGTTAAGCCTGCCATTAACTGACCTAGCCACATTTTCTTTTTTTTTTTCCTTGTTCTGATTCTTTCTGGGCAAGCTGTTAGAAGGTTTTTGAGATTCAGAATTTGTTGGAACATTTTCTGCAGTGTTGATGTGAAGGACCATGAAAGTACTGTTAAGAGCTCCTCTTGTTTAAAAATGTTTAATGGGATCTTTTCAAGACTCATTGTAAAAATAATTCAGTGCATATCGAAAATCTGTGCTAGGAACAACTGTACTGTACATGACAGAAAAATAGAAATACAGCTGAGATCTCCAAATGCTTGCCAAAAGAACACGGAGCATGAGCATTTGGGCTATTGCTTCCAACAAAATTTTGTTTTGATATTATCCCCTGTAAGGGTGAAGAAGCTTTCATTACTAACTCTGAAGGATTTTTCCTAGGATCCATTATCGTTTTCTCAGCTCCACCTTTGCAGATTTCATAACATTTGTTTTTCTTAGCATCAACATGCTAATTCCAGTGGTGGGAGTACAATCATGTTTTCTCAGAATCAATGTTACATAGTGAGAACAAAATAACAAATTATGGTAATACTTTGCTGAAGCATTCTTTCTTTAATTAGTAGAATGCCATACATTTAAATAAGCTTTTAAATACTAAATACTGATCAATTTTATTTTTAATGGAAAAAATCTCTGCAGCGTGAGAATACCACTGATTATAAACACTGCTTAATTACGAAGAATGAGAATGGGGAATATAATCTTAGTGGAACCAAGAGAAGTTTTGGTAATCTTAAAGATCTGTTGACCTGTTACCAGACGGAAACTGTCCGTTCAGACAGCATAATTTTCCAATTCATCAAATGCTGTCCTCCAAAACCAAAAGGTAAGAGAGAGATTATTTCTAAGCAGAAGGGTTTCCAACTTTTAGATTAAAGATTTAAAAACAAGTTAACATTAAATGACTCTCAGGTAGGTAGATACATATGTTTGTATGAGATTTTTAAATTTCACTGACCTATTTGTTCATCTTCTTAGTCATGGTTTTCAGTCCTCATGTCTGCCAAATTTTACTTTGTTATAAGATGGTCTTCCAGAAGGAATCAGGGTGGCCAGTTTCATGATTAGAAGCAAAACTGGTTTCTTAATTGCAGTGGATTGTGTGCAGCAGCATGTCTTTAGAAGGAAAATGCTATTGAATGTATCATTTCTCACTGAGGGTAGTTCCGTAAGCGATGGAACCAACAGTGCCAGTGAATTTCTTTCATTGTTTGTTAATATCTTAGCTTAATTATGCCAAGGCTGCAGTGTGATTTCAGCTTCTTTTTAACACTGAAAAATACACATGGAATAGAGCTCCTGCCTGAGGAGTGGATTTTTCTTGAATTTACATTAAAGGTTTTTGCCTAGCTTTGATATTCATAATATCTTTCTCCTTTATGAATTCTGATAACGTCTTCTCTTTTTGCTTATTATAAGTAGTACTACTTACAGTTGATATTAGTTAGTCTTTGTCTCTATTCAAGTCCCTATTTAAACAAAAACTTGGGAGAACAGACTATTTGAAATCACTTTTACTTCTCTCAAATTTGATTGAAATTAGCCAATGGATTAAAAGCTTAGAAAAGATTTGACAAATAAATACATATGCACATTACAGAGAATAATTTTGTAACCTTATTTCCATTGAAATAAAAAAAAAATGTATATGCATCAGAATTATAAATTATTGAATAAATATAATTGCACATGCATGCACCCATATACCCACAAATATGTACCTATCAGCTTTAGATTTACTAACAGACCTGCTCTGCTTTGTGGAGAGCCTTTATTCAAAATCACTCAAAGAATAATTACTCTGGTAAACATAAGGCAGTGAGAATCACTGAAGTGCTGCCGGGGCAAAAATACGTAAAAGCTTTAAAGAGGCATCAGAAAGATATGCATGTCTTTAACAGAGTGACTTCATAATATAAAAGAAGAAGGTGACTTACATCCCCTTTTTCCGTCCCTGATTGTTACTACAAATGCAGCAGAAGTTAAAATGTGAAAGGAGGCAGGAATGTTTTCAGAATGTTTTCAAAAGTAGGTGTACTTAAGGAACTTAAAATAGCTGAGTGAACCTAAGTGGTTTTCCTGGTTAGAAAAAATCAGACTTTGAATTTGTTTAATGAAATACTGTGTCGCTGTTTGAATAAACTGATCTCAATGTGATATCTTCTTTTTGTTGGATTAACAGTTCCTCATTAATAATCCTTCTGAAATAATATTGGTTTAGTTTTGTATTTTAAAAATTTACTTTGTTTTTCTTTTCCCCACCCCCTTTCTTCTCCCAGATAAATCAAATCTCCTAGTCTTCAGAAGCAATAGTGTTTCTGATGTACCTTCATCACCTACGCTACAGAGACACAATAATGTCAACCAGATGGTCTTTCACAAAATCCGGAATGAGGACTTGATATTCGTAAGTCCATTAGTTGCTTCTTCCACTGCAGATGGTTCGTTTAATACACACTAAGTTTTAAAAAACTCAGTATATGTTTACAAGAGCCTTATGTGACCTTATCTGAGCTAGGAGAGATTGCTGTAATCCTTCCGTAGGTAGAGTTGTGAGAGAAAAGAATTTTTTTTAGGTTTTCCATTAATACAAATAATTGGGTTTTTTTAAAATAAGAAGTGTCTTTTTGACTGCAATAGCAGTTGTTTTCTTTACTTCTAGGGATGCCTAAATACATCTTAATAACAGCAATTCCTTCCTCTCTGGTTCTTGCAGCAAGTTATTTTCTGAGATCCTTGAGGAGTCAGTAAAAAATAAGCAAAGATTTAAGCTGTTTCTGATGTAGTTGCTTCCTTGTCCCCTCAGTCTGACTCTAGAGGTGTGCTAGCTGTAAAGATTTGCATATGCGTTACTTAGGGTTGTTGTTTGAGAGATCTTTTGCAAAACAGGCAGAGATTTCTGATTTTTTCCCATCTTTGTCCTTCCTGTCTTTTAGGAGGAGAGTCTTGGACAGGGCACATTTACTAAGATTTTCAAAGGTGTAAGGAAAGAAGTGGGAGACTATGGCCAGCTCCATCAAACTGAAGTTCTTTTAAAGGTGCTGGATAAAGTGCATAGAAACTACTCTGAGGTTGGTGTGATTGTTGACTGCTATATAACGTTTGTCTGTGCTACGTTGAGCATTACTTTTCTTACAATAAATGAGTATTTGTTATATGGTAGAGGGTTGTATGTTGAACCAAGCTCATTCTTGGCCTTGTGACACTGGGAGGGTGGATTTGAGACTGGCTTTGGGAAGTATACCTATGTACTTTATTTCCCCTCTCCCCACCGTCTGTCAGAAAATTCAGAGCTACCCACTGAGAGCCAGAAAACAGTTTCTTTATATGATCCAAGTACTGCAGAAGAGGTGGTTTGGCCACAGAATTACCTTTACCAGTAAATTCATTATGTACAGATGAAAGACCAACATTCATGGAAAATTACTTTCTTCTGATAGAGTATCTTCAATGTTTTGGAGTCCTACTGATTCTCCAGTAAAATCAACATTTCACATCAAGTCATAAAAAATCGGAAGTATTTATGTGTGAGAAACACTTGCCATATGTAGAATCATCTGTATTCAGTTAGACTTTTCATTGTTTGAGTGAAGCTGTGAGCAAACCTGAAATGCCTTTGTGCAAAAACTAATAAACTGGTAATGTAATTGAGCCCAAGATTGTGTATGTGAGAATTTAATTTTCAAGACTTTAAAAAGATGTGGTAGTGTTTAATATATTAATGTGACTTTATATGGCTGTTTATTGATTATTTTGGTTATATAATTGTATCAAATTACTAATTAATCTAGCTGTATTTACGGCAAGCCAAGAGAATCAGTCCATTGTTTACTGAACTTTTCGATTAAGACAAATCTATATGAAAACGTAAGCAAAAAAGGAAAAGACATTTCGAATAGCTAGTATTCGTAAGCAATGTGGGCATGCACTTGGACAACTGAAAACAATAAAGAAACTATAACCCGTATTTTAATTTTAATAAGCTGGGTAACATACTTACATTCTAAAGTTAAGTGAAAATCAGTTGTTAAAAGGACTAAGAGTACAGAAATACAAATATAGTCACCTGAAGGAAAATGTGCTAGTTTTGACCTTGTTGTGTTGGGTGAATAATCAGTACACAAGCAAGTGTAGTTGGAGATGCCACTGAAGAGAATAAAAAAAATTACTAACGAAATAAAAGCATCTGAAACCTTCCTGACAAGGCTAGGTAAGGTCTTGCAGTGAAGGATAAGTGATATAATACTTCTTGTCTTTTAACTTAATAATGAAGAAGTAAATTGGAAACTGAATGGTGCATTATGAAAGAATAAATTGGAAACTGAATAGTGCGTCATGAATTTGTCTGCTGTTTACTTTACTTAGTTAACTGACGTGGAAGGAAAGATTCTTTTTAAAATGTGGAGATACACCTGCCTGCAGAAAAAGAGATTGCTAACCTCTCTGGAATGTGGGTTATCACTTATGTTAAAAAAAAAAAAAAATCCCAAACCTAAACCAACCACAAACAATATAAAATATGTTACACAGGGTCTTTGCAATGAGATGGAAGTTGAAATGTTTTAAAAAACGCACATGGTTTTAATAAATTTATGAGAAACCATGTAATGTTTTGGGGTTTTGTTTTCACTGATATTTATTCTCTCTCTCTCTAATGTTTTGGTGTTTTGTTTTCACTGATATTTATTCTTTCTCAATCCCTCCTTCCTCAAAGTCCTTCTTTGAGGCAGCAAGTATGATGAGCCAGCTTTCTTACAAACATTTGGTGTTAAATTATGGAGTCTGCGTATGTGGAGAGGAGAGTAAGTAGAAATCAATTATCTTTTTGTAGTAGTTTTATACAGCTGTCATTAGAGTTTGCCATTGGTTCTGGGGAAAAAACCAAAACAAAACAACCTGTCACACCAGCTGGACACCCAATACATGTTCACATTGCAGTAGTATTAGTATTGGTGTCTGAGAACTAGTTAATATGGTGATAACAAAGAAAATGGAAAAATTATGTAAATACAGTCAGTGTGAATAGTAACCTCTGTAAATGACTCATGTCTGTTCTATCTGAAAATCTCACTTTGAAAAGTTTTGCTGAACTTCTGAAAGACCTTTTGAAACTCCAGAAAAATGGCACCCCTACATTCTATCAGCCGTGGTTAGCTAGAAAGGGGAGTTCTTGGCTACCCAAGAAAATCTTCATTTACTGTGATCAGGAACATGGAAACTGCCACCCTTTCCCACCCATGTGCTGACTTTGTGAGCACTAATGTAGCTTTGGGAGGTTTGGTTTAGAGATTGCATTCTGAAAACATGAGGTCCCATTATTTCAACAAAAACACTACAAAACGTTAACAAAGGTAAAATCTTTGCGTTGTCTACAGAAGTAGAATGTGTTTTCAGTTTAGCTCACTGCATTGTGAGTATTTATAAATAAGGTTTTTTAAGAACACCTGAAATACATTTATAACATCTTAATTTTGGATGGTTGTCATATGCTTATGTGCGCTATCTTCGAATCTGCGCTGCTGGGTCTCACTTTGGCAGTTTTTCCTCTTCATTCAGTCTTTGGGCAGAAATGTCAGTTTGCCCTAAAACCATTTTTTTTCTATGATTAGAAATTTGTAACGAAAGGAAGCATTTTATAATGACTGTATAAGCATATTATGTAGGCAGTTGCCTGCGTTAAGAGAGAAGGAATTTGCAAAAGGGAGGGTGGATTCTGTATCAGGAGTTGCGTCTCTTAGGAGGTTGGAAAAGGCACAGCACCATGTTTGGCCAAGAACTTGTTAAGCCAGTTTCTTCGCAAAAATGCCCATGAGTGTTTTTTCTAGTTTATTCATTGTACCATGCACAGGGACTAGATATATAAAATTTCAGGTAGAAATAATTAAAAAAAAAAAAAAAAAAAACCACCACAAAACAAAACAAAACAAATCAAATTAGCTAAAGATATATATGGTTACTTATTTATCCTTTAGATCATAATTGCCCTCTATAGACAGTCCTATTTCTGAAGGCAAGAGACTTCTTACAGTTTAGTAAGAGGCAGTTACTAAGAAATAGAAAGAGAGACTGTTATTTTTTCTGTGGGTTGCACACTTGATTTATAGATCTGATGAAAATGGCTTCACATAATTGAAAAAAAAAGTTTGCTGTCTGTAAAATGAACTTGTTATAAAAATTAGATTATTTGTAATAACCAAAGATAATACCAATAGTTACCAGTGTCTTTAGAGTCTAAATGAGAAGCACTGCAATGTGAGCATCTTGCAGCTGAAGGCAAGACTTCAGTCATGCAATTTGAAATTGTTGTATTGAAACTGATGAAGGCTGTGCAGTACTATAGAATCATAGAATGGTTTGGGTTGGAAGGGACCTTTAAAGGTCATCTAGTCCAACCCCACTGGCGTGGGCAGGGACATCTTCAACTAGATCAGGTTACCCAGAGCCCCGTCCCACCTGACCTGGAATGTTTCCAGGGATGGGGCATCTACCATCTCCCTGGGCAACCTGTTCCAGTGTTTCACCACCCTCATTGTAAAAAATTTTTCCTTATATCTAGTCTGAATCTGCCCTCTTTTAGTTTAAAACCATTCCCCCTTGTCCTGTCGCAATAGGCCCTGCTGAAGGATTGTTTGTTCCCATCTTTCTTATAAGCCCCCTTTAAGTAATGATAGGCCGCAATAAGGTCTCCCCAAAGCCTTCTCTTCTTCAGGCTGAACAACCCCAACTCTCTCAGCCTTTCTTCACAGGAGAGGCATTCCATCCCCCTGACCATTTTTGTGGCCCTCCTCTGGACCCGCTCCAACAGGTCCATGTCTTTCTTGTGCTGAGGGTTCCAGAGCTGGACGCAGTACTCCAGGTGGGGTCTCACCAGCGTAGAGCAGAGGGGCAGAATCACCTCCCTTGATCTGCTGGCCAAACTTCTTTTGATGCAGCCCAGAATATGGTTGGCCTTCTGGTTGTGAGCGCACATTGTCAGCTCATGTCCACCTTTTCGTCCACCAGTACCCCCAAGTCCTTCTCGACAGGGCTCCTCTCAATCCCTTCGTCCTCAGTATTGATACCGGGGTTTGCCGCAGCCCAGATGCAGGACCTTGCACTTGGCCTTA